GCGACCGCCACTCCGTCGTCAACGGTATACTCCGTTCTGGGTTCCAACGGCCGCTAACGACATCTGATTCCCTTCGATTGCGATCCTGCCGCTTTTCACCCACGGCCCTGCCTTTCTCCCTTCTTCCCTCGACGTTCTCCTTGGATAGATGTAGCCAGTGTACACCAGTGGTCGCGCGGACACAATTTCCCTCTCAGTCAATCGCGACCAGCCATTATTACCGAGCTGATCCCGCGGCTGCTTAATTACTCTCGATGCTGCACTCACCGCCAATGTATCCCGATATTTCCCACGGTGCACGGGACACTGATAACACGGCTCGCGTGACCCGTTTACGTTTTGCAGTCTCCTTACCCGACGACACCACCAGCTCCTTCGCCGTCTCGTCTACGGTTCACTCTGTGTCGGCACTCCACTCTTCAGGGACCGGTTTGACGTGGCACCGCCGATCCTGCGACTGTCAAACGAAAAGAGACTCGTTACGAAAGATATCCTTTCTTCGTTTCTTTCCGTTAATCACACGCGCGTTTTCGTCGCCACCCTTCAACACCCCCAGCCGCCCTTTTCGTTCTCCCTTAACCTCGACACGCACGTTCCTCTTTCTCTCCCTCTCACGCACAACCTCACCTCACGCATCGTTTTGCTCCCTCTTTTTTTTACTTTCTCTCTCTCTCGCTCTCTCTCCCTCTCGGATTTCATTCATTTCGACATACTCGAAGGGCGCGACGTTTCCTTTAAGACGATCCCATACACGCGCCCCGCTCCCGTCCTTATCGATTACGACGCATACTGCATGGAGAAAGGCTGCCCACCCGTCGACGGCCAGAAAGGATTCCCCACGTGAACAGTTCGCAGATCTCTGTGCTCGTCTAAGCTACGACGAAGAGAATCGCGAGGATCCGTGCACGGGTGACGCAAATGTGTGTGTGTGGGTGCCTGCGGCAGCCGTGTTACGTGTGCAAGCGTAACCCCGACCTCGATGTTAGGCGGCTGATAGCCGGCCTCACACTGATACGGCTCCGTCGTTACAACCACGGGCCATACCCGCCCCTTCGACACCCCCACCATTACGGATAAATAAAAAAATTCGCACCCCTCTTTCCTGACTCGATCGCCGCGCCGTCTACGGTCGCTCGCGGCAAATCCGTCGACCCTTCGATTCCAATGGAATGCGCATGTGTGAACCAAACTTGCGTTTTTTCGACGAAATTGTATCGTTCTCTCCTGCCTGACAATTTTTCGGGAGTGGAATTCTCCGAATGCCCAATACCGCACTTGCGATCCCTCCATGATTCGAGTTTATCGGATACCTAAAAAAATTATCTTTTCACTTTCTTTGTACATAAAGCCGTATTTTACATGCAAAAGTTTTGTACATTCTGAATACGTAATTGTATAGGTGGAATAAATAAATAGAGACTTACAAAATATGTAACTGTAATCTTAGTTTTTGTTACTTATTAATAATTTTTAAGTTATATTTTAAATAAATGAATGAAGTAAATATTTTATACTTTTATACTGTGCTTTAAATTAAAATATAGTATACAATGCAGGTAATATTCATATCAGAATTTTGATTTCAAAAGTATTATACTTACAAAATATATAAAAGGAAATAATTGCACTGAAAAATTTAATCATTTATTTACTTGATCTAATCCTTCCCTTTTCATTTTATAATAAATAAAATAAATATTTAACATGTTTTAATTATTATTTTAACTGAATCTAATATATAATACATATGTGAAATTATTTACTATATTATAAAATTTATATAATGTAGCTAATTTGCAACATTTGGTAAAGAAGAACACAAAATTTTAATTGCAAAAAACAATAAATATCTTTTATTTCTAATGTTTGAACATTTATTGTTTTTTGTAATGAAATACGTAATCGTGTATGATTAAAAAATAAACATAATTTCTGTAGTTTGCAACAGAATGAAACGTATGGTTAAAAGTTAGTTGCGTGTGCAAACGAGTATAACAAGACTATGCTTTATGTGGCGTTTCCTGCGGCACGGACTAACACTGAGGTTATATGATACCGAAATCATGTATACATTGAATACGTTTAATCGATGCCGCTGATAATAGCACGGTGAATATATAGAACGAATTTTACTCGTAGCCTCTTAACTTTAGTTTCAATACTTATATATTGCCACGTTGGTACCATTAGGCTTATATCCGATACCATTAATTAGAATAAGCAGAAATTTTGCTTAATAGCAGTTATATACATTATTAGAAACGTAAGCTACTTTCGAAACTATTTTAATGAAAATAAAAATTCAAATAAAGTCGTTGCTTCTACTTTTATGTGAAAAAAATATAACTCGCAAACAATAATGAGGTTATAAGTAAAATGTAATATTTTAAATAATTTATATACCTTAGTCAAAAATTTACATGATTGCTAATTTTGAAATCACAAGATCTTCGTAATAGTCGATTGCTATCAGGTAAAGTATACGTTACGACATCTTGCAGTGCATGCTGGGACTTTCGTTGACAAATTATGACTCATTCTCGTTCAAATTTTCCGCCTATAATTAACAGTAACGAATTATTCAATGCATGTACATAACTTGATTTTCATTTTCTACTATCTGATAAATATGTTACATAAATAGCTTAATTTTATGTACCTACAATTTACTCTTTGAATTTCAAACGCAGCAGTCGAATTCTGACACAAGAGTACAGAAGTAGATATTTTGAATTCGAATATAAAATGATGAAGCTATCAAATAAAGGATCAGTTATTTGTTACATAAACTTATTACATATTATCTACTTACATTTAAATACTAGAATGAGCTTAAACATTCAATAAATTCAATTACTATTTAAATGATCACGGAAGATGCGATAGAAGCTGACACTCGGGACGAGTCGGGTCCAATCGAATCGAGTTGAATTCTCGAAAATATCTCGAAATTTAAGAATATCAGAATTCCCGCGAATTTTGAAAATCCATGGCACATTTCAAGACTAACTTTACTAAATAATCGTAAATTTATTTTCTTATCCCTCGGAGGTGTTTTAGAAACCAACAGTATAAAATAATTACATTATTTTTAATTGATTAATGTAAAACAGCAAACCATGAAAAATCACAAAAAAAATTTCAAACCATTATAATCCCAAATTTGTAATCTTTAAATTTAGGAATATAAAAATAAAAAACTCACAAATTTCTAATTTGGATTGCACCAACTGGATATCGACTTATTTTGTCATCCCGTCTAGCGATAACTTCTCCTCCACAAGGATGCAGTAGCCCCTATGTTTCTAAGTCCCTATGAATTCAAGTTTCAGATGTCGCCACTATCCAGTCGGAGTTCCGTTAATCGTTCTGCCTACAGTCGATGGATCGAAAAATCGTTCAGTATCGATCAGGACAGCGGGTGCAGTTGTCAGATACATAGGAGACAGGGTTTTTGTTCCTTCGGAGGTACACGGGTTCCGAGTAAATTTTTTTCTCTCCAGAAAATAAGTAATGCTGTCGTGACGGCTACGCAATTGAATTGTGCTGCTAGAAAGACAGCAGTTGCGCGTCTCTTTCTACATTCTTTCAAGAAACGGCAGCATTTTGCACTCGGCAACTCCTTTAGCCATTTTTGTACTTCCATACTAAACAAACGTGCCTCCTGTGATCCGCAATGGCGGAGACGAATGGGGCCGCAAATTTGAATACGAAAAATGGGAATTTCATCTGTGGCGTCGTCGAAGGTACATAAACGGTTGTCTTGCGATACGAAATATACGTATTTGGTCATCGTTAACAATCACTTTGCGTAGGAGGGGGAACGATTGAAATGCATAATAGTTCACGCGCATTATTCATTTTAATAGCTGGTATTTTGTTATTGCAGGTTTTTATGGACGGCCTTGGACCACCGAACAAAGGAAGGATTTGTTTCAAAAGTAAGTATTTCTAAGTAAATGCAGATGCAATATTGAAAATGTTATTTCAAATTGTTCTGTTAAATAATTTTCAGATTAAAAAAATGGGGAATGGATTCGTATTTATATGCACCGAAAGATGATTATAAGCATCGTGCGTATTGGAGAGATTTGTACACAGTAGAAGAAGCAGAACATTTAACTGGATTGATAACAGCTGCTAGGGACTGTGGTATTACATTCTATTATGCGTTATCTCCTGGCTTAGATATTACTTACTCAAGTTCAAAAGAAGTTACCATATTAAAAAGGAAACTGGAACAAGTTAGCCAATTTGGTTGCACCGCATTTGCATTATTGTTTGATGATATTGAACCAGAAATGAGCGAAGCTGATAAAGAAGTATTTCAATCTTTTGCTCATGCACAAGTACGTAACTGTGAAATATTGTTACAGCTATTAAATATTTTATGCATAATTAATTTAAATAATATGTTAATAGGTTTCTGTAACAAATGATATCTTTCAACACCTTGGTCAACCACGATTCCTTTTATGCCCGACGCAATATTGTGCAACTCGGGCAATGCCAAATGTAGCATCTTCAGAATATCTTAATACACTCGGAAGTAAATTAGCTCAAGAAATTGATATAATGTGGACTGGTCCCAAAGTAATATCAAGACTTTTGACTGTTGAATCCATTGAAGAGATTACGGAGGTTCTAAGGAGGCCACCAGTTATATGGGATAATTTACATGCTAATGATTATGATCAAAAAAGAGTATTTTTAGGCCCATATTCTGGTCGATCTCCTGACTTGATTCCCAAATTGAGAGGAGTTTTAACAAATCCCAACTGTGAATATGGAGCAAATTTTATAGCAATTCACACTTTAGCTCAGTGGAGCAGATGTAATATTGATGGAAAAAGAGATTTAAGTTTGAGTTAGTATTTATTTTTCATTCCATTTCTATTAATCATATTACTTAACCTCATTATCATATGATTTACAGATGATACTGTATCTGCTGACATAAAACTGGAAACTGAAACAGAAGATGGAGTGCTTGGTGAAGATATACCTTTAACGATGTCTCCAAACATATATCATCCGCGGCACGCTTTAAAAAATGCCATCAACGATTGGTTACTGGAATTCAGCAAAAAGCGGAATGTATGGGGCGTTATAGCGAAACCACAACCATGTGTGGCACCAACGGTACCAATTCCGATAATTCCTTCTGTGAATACATGCATGAGTCTTACGGCGACAACGACGACTACTGTTCCTGCGACTCCTGCACCAGTAACTAATTCTAATCACCTACAAGCATTGGCTGAAGTTTGCTCAACTGTAACCACTGCTGACAATTATGTACAGCCTCCTTCTGGTCCTGTCATGAATTCTTTGGTATCCGATACGACTGTTGTTAGCGAACCCATTATTCCATCAATTTCATCTACCGAGGAGAACGTGGCAAGTTCCAATGCTTTATCGTCTATGGAACCTATGGATTGTAACACGACTCCCAACAACTCTCCAGCCCATGCAGTGAAAATTCAAACAGAAGATGACGCTATGGTAGAGAATAATTCTGTAAGTTCTTTTACCTATATCAATAGGATTTGTGAAATATGCATAATCCTTGATTTTTCCAGACATGTAGCGACGCATCTGGTAGCATGCAAGTGGAAGTAGATGGTACTTCCCCTGCAATAAATGGTACTCAAATGATCGTTGAAAACGACAGTGAAAATCACGATAGTGGCGATAATGGTGATCAAGAATCGCCCGATGTTGATAAGCGGTTGACGCAAGAAGACTTATCTTTGTTATGTGATCTTTTTTATTTACCGTTCGAACATGGCGGTCAAGGTATTCAACTATTGCAAGAGTTTAACTGGTTAAAAAGCAACGCCCATGTTGTTATGAGGAAAGCGAAAGAGGATGAAACTACGTCTCAATCGGACGTATGTCACATTTTTTCTCACGTGCAATGGAATCTCGCTATATGCCCAGATAAACGATGTTAGAATACAAAAATTTGTATTTTTCATTTCTATAATTCCTTTCAATATCATATAGCGAGATTCTACTGTATTACAAATAAATTGCCCATACAAATCTTAACTTGTTCAAAACTTCAGATTGAGGAATGGCATGCGCGAGCGGCTAAGTTAAACGAAATGTGTAACGCTGTAAATAGACTATTTCAGCGACTTACATATTGTAACAATCGTGAGTTGTTATATGATCTGTATTCATATGTATGGGACATGAGAGGAGTCGTGTCTCTCTTAAACAGTTATGTGAAATGGTTGGGTAAGTTACATTTTGCTTACATAAATCAAATATGTTTATTGAAAAAGATGGCTGTAAATGAAATAGAGAATAGTATCAAAAACATTTGGGTCATCACATCAATCACAGTATTAAAGTAAAAGTAAAAATAGTAATGTAAAATATATAAAGAAAGTTCATTCAAGATGCTAGTATGCTGGTACAATGATCGCGTTATAATGATTCATGTTACTGTACTACATAGAACATTCAAAAATATTACTGATTTTTATTTTTTATTTAATTTCTCTGTTATCATGATTAGTAGAAAGTTGTATTTGTTGTGCTACAGATGAGTGCTGTTATCGATTTTTCTCAAAAGTTCTATAATTTATTGCATATAATTATATTTCAGAACAAAAGTGTCTCGAGTATTGGTAAGTGTAATATTCTATATGTTTTTTTAATCCACTGATTCTGTCTTTTTACAAGAAAGATGTGTTTTTTAATTTAAAATGTTTTACAAATTAAAATATAATGTCCGCAACTAACGAAAATTTATAATCTTCAAAATTTGAACAAGTGTCAATACACTAAAATAAACTCGGACAGCATTTTTTTAAAATCTTGTAGTGAATATTATATATTACACTACATACACTTCCTTGTAAAATGACATATAATTATACAACATTTAAAAAACAAAGTGCTGATTCCAAAATTTACTGATGTTTTGTTAAATCAATTAAATTCATTAACTTAATTGTATATTCATTATATATGCAATTATATATATACAAATCAAACATGTATTTTATTATAAATCACTAATAAATATTTTATAAGTACTTTAAAAACATGTAAAGCTCTAAGTAAAACAAAATTGTCAGTTTAAAGTAACTAGCAACAATTAATATTGTTAGTTTAAATGCTGCAATCATTGTTTAATTACTAATATATGAACATGCATCAGTAATAAATGGAATTAAGATATTTCATAAATCGCATATCTATGAAATATGTACATTTGTTTCTGCGCTTTAGAACCAAATGTACTATATGGCGCGCGAAAACAAACAAGTAGGGTCGCCGTGAGTCTGAATTAGAATGAGTTAAATCTACTCTTTGACAAATGCAATTACAAATACATTATTCTTGAAAGTACAAATCACAATTGCTTTATACAATTGCACAGAACTAAAACACAATCAGTCAATCCGCTGATTGAATTAATCAGTGTAACTTTATTTTTTAACATGTACCGTTTTTTAGAAAATGATTTTCTTATTTGTCGACTAACGGCTTCCTATTTATAATTCTAGTAGTGAATAAAGAACGTCACAGCATTTCTCATCTTTTGTTTTCAAACAATAGACTGTTTTTTTCTGGCACATAATGTTGATATATTTATATACATGTGCTAAATTTAAGTAATTTACACAATGTGAATAAAGAGAATTGACGTGGCGTTCCGGCGCAAATAGTTGGCGAACGAATTTTTCATAGCAGACACTTTCTGGGAAAGTATTTAACAGCATCTATGTGGACCTGAACAAATATCATGTTTTGAATAACCTTGTGCCAGCTATTAACATATTGGTTGACTTTCTTTCACAGACAATGTTTGGCAGAAATCTATTCGTTGCATCCAAAGCTTACAATTATTGTATGATTATTATGATGATACAGGCAAATGTAACATTGGAAAGTGAGAAGATAAATGTTGCAGCGAATAATTTTTGCCAGCAATATAAGTGTATGAGGAACAATACAGCTTCAATATTCACTGACTAACGTGCATTTCTGTGTTTTCTGTCTTGTTGATAGCGTTTGGCAGATTCCCGTCGACGATGACAACGTTTACCCAGGGAAGCTACACATGTATGCGATTCACCAGTCTGAGTAATCCAACAAAAAGCGCGCGACTAACAAAGCTTCAAACTAGTGATAATGATTGTATAATTTTGAGTTTGAAGCTTTGCGTAGAACTATTATAATGAATATAAGCAAGAGATTTGCGCGTAGAAGCAGCGTTCTGATGTCTTGACGGATCAATGTGTATTCAACACAGATATTTTTAGTGTTTAATACAATTTGATATGCGATGGACATACTTTTTCATTTTGCAAAAATTCTAACAAAACACATGTTTAAATATTACACTGTTATACAATATTTCTAAATATGTTCTCATTTTGATTTTATTCCATGAAATTTATTTGTATGTTTCATTTAAGTATTCATGTATGAATGCTTTACTCCTTGTTTGAAAATGTAAGTGAATTGGATGAACCTTTTCCAGAACAATTTTTGCACACAAAGTAAGTCCATCAATAGTTTTTACAAAATTGGCAAAGTTAGGACAATCTTCTAAAATGTGAAGCGCTTATCCTAAATATTATGCTGGTCAAGCACAACTAACAAAAGTTGTATCTTCCATGTTTTATTACATTCTACAATTAATTAGTGGCACAAAGGAAGTTTGCTGGAATTTGTTTATTAAAAGCATCTTTTGCAAAGTGTGAATGACCAGTAATACATCCTCCTTTTGCCAACTTGCCTGTACTAATTTCTTTTAGTTCCAGAAACTGTATTCTTTGCAGGAGTAATAGCAGTTTTATTTCAGGCGCATTTTGGCAAACTGGATTACCATTCCATCAATCCCATCATCCTTTCCACTATCTTAGAATTCAATGCGCGAACTTTGGTGCAACATTTTTTTTAAATTAATTTTGGTTATTACTTTATTTTTACCGTAATTGGTTCAGTATTATTGCTCTGTCTTTACAAATTCATCACTCTACTTAACAAAACACTTTTTCCAGTATTTTGATTTTCTTTTATTTAGGAATTGTTCAATACACGTACAAGTGATCAGTTCAGATATGGTTTTATTCGTTGATAAAATGATGCACCGTAGTTGTTTCGATCGATGGATTTCTTTATCTCGTAATACGATTTTTCAACTTAGTGAACAGTACATGAAATCTAGTAATCGAGCGAGATAAAGATAATTAAAGCACCATCGGTCGAAGTGTACTTATGCATGTTACAAATTTAAGCTGAACTAGTGTTCAAAGCAGTGGGGGCCATTTCATAAATTATAAATTGCATAATCGCGCGTACACATTTCGTATTTCATTTTTTATTAAGGTCATATAATATGTTTTGGGATAGGGTTCTCGAATGGTTGGAAAGAAACTTTTATGAGTGGAGAACAAGAGCCGTGGGTATTCCGTGGAGGTCTTACAGCTGATCTACAGGTGCGTTTACATGCAATATCTTCTTTTCTTGCTGAATTGAAATCAATATGAAATTATATTTTACAGAGGTTAATTCCAGTGGACAGTGGTAATGATTTATTTGTTTACAAAGCACCAGAAGTGCCCACCAGTAAAATCTATACGATTAGGCCTTACTTAACAAGCGATGAACATGCAGTGTACACTGTTTGTAATAAAATTTGTGGCTGTATGGGGTCATCTGCAGTAGCAGATAGGTAAAAGAAGAATATTCATATAAAATATAAATATTTTATTCAACTAATCAATTGTCAACCTTAAATATTTAATTATAGGTTAGTTGGAGGTTTTCTAACGTTGAGTCCAGAACTGTGTATGGTTGTTGAAGATGAGAGTGGTGTAGTAGGTTACGCATTAGCTGCCTTAAATATCAAATCTTATAATCAGAAATTAGCGGTTTCTTGGATACCCGAGTTGCGGATGAAATATCCGCTAGATGACAATATAAATGATCTACCACAGAATGTTCAGGTATTTTGAATTATTTAATTTTACATTTATAATGTGCTAACTTCTGAAACTCATTTGCAGGATGCCATACGATATTTCCATTCATTCGTTCCGGATGTGTCTGAACAATTGTGCAGGCAACATCCATCAAAGCTTTTCTGTGCAGTGTTGCCAAGTGTTACAGACCAGTCGGTCCCTAAAAGATTAATTACTTGTATTCTTGCGGCTTTAAGAGCAAATGGTATATATCTTTTTGCATGATTTTCAAATTGTTATTCCGGAAAGTAAATGATTTAAATTTTTAATCATTTTCTCAGGTTCCTTCGGTGTACATACTACGATGCCAAGTATTGATAAAGAGTCCCACGAGTTTTATAGTAAATTAGGTTTTGTCGATTTGAATCCAGCGCACGAGGAGTATCCTGGTATCAAAACTATGTGCAGAAGTTTCTAACAAAGAGTGAGTACGCCAGTGATATTTGTGAACAAAGTGTATTTACTCGGACCATCTTCGAAGAAGGCTTCTGTGGCCTAAGAATCAAGTTCAAATGGCATAGGAGTACGATTATTTCTTAAAAAAGAAAGATCAGAAAGCTTTCCGTCCATTGTACATTCTCGTACAATGGACTCAAGGTAGATTCTCGACCTTTCAGTGGGAAGGAGAGAAAAAATGTATAGGCAGACTTTACATTATACTATCTTTAAGACTAACTTCCGTTCTGAGAAGCTGACCTATAAGATATCTGCCTTCTTATATCATATAGTATCACCCAAATGTGTTTAACGATATATGCGTGCATACAGTGTATATACGGTACGAGTTAAGTTACAGTGATATCTACATCGTTAAGCGGAGAGAGTGTGAAAAAATAATGTACAATGTGCAATAGTAAGGTTTAACAGTGCTAAAACAAAAACGAAACAGAGAAAAAAAGAATCTGTTAATTTTATGAATATTTATGTTTGTGTGTTCAACGCTATGGGATTTTAGTATATCCGGTATGCTTGTATCTTAAATAGGAAGTTTTCTTAACATGAAAATGTATGTACATAAACACGTTGAATGATGTACGAGGAAAAAATACCAGTATGTGTGTTCAATTAATTATTGAAGCTTTTTAAACCACTGAATGATATTTTCTTATCGAAACACGTGCGAACAATGAAAAATCTGTTCGTCCAAAATGTTTTCTGAATTTATGGAAAGGAAAAACAAACGAGCAAGTTATAGTTTTAACTCCAGGTTCGCTTTTTATGATAATTACCTATTCCATAGGTACTTTACTGCCCAGTAGCAAAATTTTCACTTTGAATATGTATATAACTGATATTTAATACGCCTATTATAAGGCCTTTTTATGTTTAATGTATCGTCCCCAACTAATATTGTTCTTAACACAAATATCGGTATTATTAACAATGCTTAATTGGCTCTTCCGTCGTATGTACGATCACGTGCAAAGTAGGTTTCCCTTATTTAAAAGGAAGACATATGTAATATGTACTTTAAATTTTATATCTTTTTTTATATTCAGTTTGAATGTTCGACAGCTGTTAATGTGTTAACCAAGAGAAGCCTACGATACACCCAAATAGAAGCGTGTATGTAATGCAGTGAAATGTAATATGCTTATGGAGCATTTGCTTATTTCGTTAACATTATTACGTACTATTCAACAGAGATAAATATTTCTAATGATTTGTTGCGATGACAGGCATTAAATTGCGTTTTATACGATTGTTTATTTTTATCAAGCGTGTCAGCGTGCAAAATTATGTTCTGAAAGGACAGATTGTAAGAAAAGAAATGTGTAACATGTAGCAACAATTAGGTCGTTACTATCGTTAGTTGTTCGTACCGTCTTTTGCACGTCGATGTATCAAATGTACAGAGCTGAGATAGAAAGTAAATAATGATAAGATAAAAACGTACACATACATACACCTGAACATACACGCATATACGAAAGGAAAGAAAATAAATATGAAGATCTTAGATATCTGCCTTATAATTGCTATTAATTAGTACTACCACAAAACAGTTGTATCACGAAGTGAGGTGTGATTTTTAATCTTAATCAGGAGCCAGAGTGTCGTGCTAGGATTCGATGTGATTTCATGTACAAAAAGGAAATTCGAGCGTCGTGAAAATCGTCTGTATCTGTAATCGAGATCTATTTTAATTCGGATCGGCACTTTGTAGAATTTTTATACTCGCTGTTGATTTTCACGACGACTGAATTGATGTGACGAAATTGCGTCTGACGGGAAAGCTGGAAAAAAAACATTTTTTGTAATCATCGCTTTTAATTCTTCTTTTTTACAAAGTCACTTCATTACTATATATTTATTTATTTTTATCGCCCGAAATATATCAATACATATTTATAGAAGTTCCCATGAAATAATTTAAAAAATGTAACTTTTTAATACGTAATTTCTCTTTTTGATCTTTTTTAAATGATTAAAAGTATAACAATATTTCCAGTTGTCTCGTCGTGCATTTGTAAGTAATATATGTGTAATTAGCACTGTGAAGCGATATGTGATTACTACTGATTTATTTAAATAAATATGCCAAGACTGATACATCTGGTGTAATTGAAATTGAAACGATTGCAATGGAACATGATATTTGTAATATCCTTACAATTGATTTAATTTTTTAACGATACTGTTGCGACGTCGTTATATTTCTGCAAGTTCTGGATTTCATTTTGAAATTGTAATATCTGGAATTTCGAAGAAAAGGCGATATACAAAACGTACTATATCCATTTTTATACAAAAACAAAGTGCTGTATACCTTTTCTATTTCTTTTTTGAACAAATTTTGTCTAGTTCTTGGCGTTGTGTCTGTGTCTTTAACTTGAAGTTCATTTAATGATTTTAATATTTCATTCACTTTTCTGTTAATATCCCTGCAAAGTATTAATTTTTCAATTGAATTGAATATCATACAATTTTTTTTAATACAAATTGTTACAATTTCTTTACTCACGTTGATGGAACAAATTTCTGTTTCTTTTTTATTTTTGATCCATGATTATCCTACAATTTTAATTAATTCGATTAAATTAAAAATACAAGAATACATAAAGTCGGAAATAATGACTCACCGGTTTTAAATTATATTTGAATATAGATGCATAATCTTCCATATCAAATCCAAAAGGAATATCATCTGTTTATTTAAAATTTATTTAATGATGTAACAGTCAAACGTAATAATTAAAAATTTTGCTAATATACCTTCATTTCTTTTCATAGCTTTTTCCATGGATCTACTGAAACTTCTTTTATCTCGTCTCCATTGTTTTAAAGCATTTTCATCCCTAATTATTTATGTTATTTATATTATTATTTATATGAATGTATTTTATATAATTTGTAAAAAAAAAAGTAAAAATTTCTTACTTTACTTTTTGTAATATTGACGTTTGTTTAGCGAATAATTCTTTCAGCTTGGAAAACCAAAGCAAACGATACTCCAGTGGAATATTTGCACCTTTATTTTCGCATCTAAATTACAGGGTGAAAGAAATTTAATTAATTATAAAATGTTTTTGCAATTTATAATAATTCTAATTTATAGAATCTTTTGCTGTACAGCTTTTATAGATTCTGATAATGTATAGTTTTTGGGAGGCATGTTTAAAAGTATGGGATTGTTAAATACAACTTTCGGAAAATCCTTTAGAAATGTGAGGTTAGATATCCTAACAATATTACAAAAAATCAAACTACTTAAGTTCACAAATAATTTCACTACTTCTTTATGCCTACATAATTCTCCAAACAAGATAATATCCAGTTTGAGTCGTTTAATTTAATTGAATTCAATTTAAATCTTTTTCCATCTCTCGTAATAATATCAAATACATAATCAATGCTCCCTACATTATTCTGACATTTCGTATATTTTTTATTCTCTCTAGAGAAAAATTTATTTTCTGTTTTCATAGAGTCGATTTGATCAAACTTACAAATGTTCCTACATTCTTTTTTTGTCGGTTTTTGATAGGTTTTCAAAATTTTTATATTTTTTCGTACATAAAGAGATCTCGGGGAGGGACCCATCAAACGCAAAACTTTAGTGCTAACTTCTTCGATTTCATTGTTCATTGGAATATCAATTTTACTTTTTAAATTTTTTAAATACGGTAAAGAACGTTTCGTTCGTTCGTGTATATATTTCAGATTTTTATTAATCGATGTGTCATTCAATTTTGAGGCACACAAATCACCTAACGTTGAATCATCGGTTGAAAATGTTTTTTCGTTGTAGTACCTGCTACTAGGCTTGTAAGATTTACGTCTCTCTGTGGTGGAAGGGTTTCTGTTACGTACTGCACTTTTTAGTGGCAAAGTTTTCTTTTTACCCCTTCGAGGAGACTGATAGCAAAGGATCGTCGACAGCTTTGGCTCGATTTTATCTGAAAAATAATAGAAAACAATTTTAGTCATCTCTGTATTATAAAATATAGTACTCTGTGTTATAGAACATTGTAACAATTAAATAGAAGCATTGAAATGACGTTCTAATATTAAATTATGTACTTATTGTAATTAATGTTATATTTATATCGGTTCATTTAATTTTCATTATTTTGAAAAGTACTAAGATTAAATTATTATAACCAGTATTATTTTTCAGTTTATTTAATTTTAGTTATTTTAGAAAATACTGAAATATTGAAGTATTAATATTAAATTATTATAACTACTATTATACTTGTTTCAGTTCATTTAAATTTAATTATTTTAAAAAGTACTGAAATGTTGAAGTACTAATACTAAATTATTAAATTATATATAATTTTATATTTGTTGCAAATTACTTAATTTCAGTTATTTTTTGAAGAGTGTGATAAATTATTCAGACACGTTTGTAACACTAAAATATACATTATAATCAAAATTCAATATTACCAAACTCTTTAAATTACAATGTTAAATGATGTAAATATGTAAAGTGTTAAAAAATAAAGTATATAACGTTGCTTGAAAATTAATAAGACATAATTAAGTGTTCCCAGATACATTATCGTGGACACAAAAAAGCAGCCACTCACTTTCCTTGAACTCCACTCGCTTTTCAGGGTGGGCGTCGTTCCATTCGATTCGTAAAAACTCCAAAATAGCCGAACAACCTGAAGCCACGATATCTTGCGGAGGCGTGATAAGTGGATTCTGTGCTACCTGAAGGGTTTTCAGCTTTGGCAAAGTGCCTGAAACATTACGAGATTAACAGTTTTTGGCTGGTCACCAGACTCGTTTTAGAGACTTAATTTATTTTATAACAGAACATGAATCAAAATTGCAGCCTGTAGCTGAAAGAATTATATCACGATTATTATGTACAATTATCAAAAGAATTAACGATAAGAAGTGATTCTTCGATCACTGATTTGAGAAAATAAAATCAATCAATTTATTATATGGAGTTATCACAAGTATTAACAGTAAGAAGTGATAGATCACTAATTAAAAAAAAAACATATCAATTTATTATCACCTTAATTCCTATTTCCACATAAACAAATATCCTTGAGTTATCACCATACATATATGTGGAAGTATATTTTATTTTCAAGAATTTATATAGCTATATTTAATCGCAGTAAATTCTTGTTATATTACCAGCATAATTTGGTAATATAAAAAAGGTAATTTTTTAGTTAATTTAAAAAATTGTCTCGTCCCTAGCAATATGTCTTCTGTCATACTTTTTAACCCTAATATGAATACTTGGTCTTAAATTGAAACTTACAGAGTTCCAATGGCAGACTCTGTATTTCATTTTTTTGAAGTAAAATGGTTTCCAAACATGCATGGAACTTGATCGTAGCTGATAAAGAAGAAAGCTTATTGTTTCTCACGTCGAGCCATTCAAGATATCTCAAAGACGTGAAAATATCATCCGGAAGTTCGATTAATTCATTATCCGCAAGGTACAACATCTATGAACAAAAATGGAAAGAGTAATTATTCGATTCAGATAAATAGGTCGCACGAATTTTAATAATATTTTAACAAGATTACTTGGAAAGGTAAAATACCCGAATGTATGGAAATTTATTGAATATTTCGGTTGGAAATTGTTTTAACTCGGTGCTGGAGTAATCTGCGAATGTTTCATTACAAGTTGGTTCTTTTTTAGATACTGCTGGTATATTTGTATTAATTTTCGAAGATTTCTGAGACTTTTTCAATGCTGTGGAAGAAGCATCCGACGCGCTGTCCGGAAAACCGTCTTCGACAAATGTCAGACTCATATCATTTTCGTTTGTATTCTTTGAATCGTTTATCTCTGTAATATAGACAGTCTATTAATAAGCTACTTATTTAAAAAACGTGACAAGACCACTTTAAAAGTGAAGATAACAGTAAGTAAAATTTAATATATTTTATAAAATGATTATTTTAAAATGTTAAACCCTAAATAAAATTCAAAAAATGCATATAAAGTAATGAACAATTATTAACAAAATGTCATTTCACTGAAATTGTTAATAAAGCGAATCTTTTTTATTATATTATATTTTCTGTTTTCTTTACTTTTACCTTTTATCAAGTAAGTTAATATTTATATAAAATTATACAATACTTTATCTGTTCAATAAATGATTACGTTAATTCATTAATTTTGAAAGTGAGGCAATTTGTATATAATAAAACTTTTATTTTTTGACCGGCACTTTAAATACTATTGGAAAGTAAACCTACGTTAACAACATAAATTACAACAACGTCTATTAGTGCTTATCAGCATTTTCAAATATATCGAAACCCTTAAATATCTAGCAATAACGAAAAATTCATTTGCTCCACTTTCAAAGTAAACGACTCGTTTATCGATCATTGAAAATTAGTATTGCAATTCTATTATCATTCACCCGAATATTCAACCGTTTCCTTAATAGCGTTTGATGATTGCTCATGCGCAGTAGAGGATCGTGTATTTTCAGTAAAATCGCACATGATGTTCGGTCCAAAATCGATATCAAAGTTATCAAGCTCTTCATTGAGCTCGTACGTGTCCTCTAAATCGTCGAAAATTTCGGAATTATGCAGTTCGTCTACAATACTGAACTTTCGATACTCATCGATGTCTTTCTATAAATTTAAAGAAATTAGTTAATGATTTTATATTTTATAAAAGGTACAAAAGCAAGGAAAATTCATTTTACCTCAGATTCTTCGTCAGAGACATTTTCCTCGTTCGTTGTTGAAGAAATCTGATCGGAAACCTGTTTCTCTTCATCGCGTTTTATATTATCGACACTCTGGTGAATTGACAGGAATCTTTTATCCGATTCCGCACCTAAACCGTAATACTGGCTTAATAAATTCTTTGCTAGGTCGGTCATGGTGTAGAACGATATGTTTTTTAAATTTGAATAAGAATACTCTTGATTGAATTCGCTTTCAGAAGGTGAAGTTTGGCAGGAGTTTATTAAATCGATAGTAATTGTTTATTCATCGTCTAGGTTACGATAGAGATACACTGTTACCTACATACTTACGTGTTTAATTCGCAGCATCATTTTGAGAATAATCGATCGTCGATAAGATACGAAATGGCAAAAAATTATTTCGAGTCGCCAAAGATCGTTTTCACAGATATTTCCTTCCTTAAAAAGAAAATTTTATTTACAAAATTTAACGTTATTTAGAGCATTACGGTTTTCCGAAGAACAGTCAAAATTAACACTTACCGACGCAGTCCACTTTGTACCGAAATTACATCTTTAAGTAAAGAAGAATTCCAGATTTATCATTTCAATTGGAACCGATTTTGCACCACTCTTAATGTTTGAAATTAAAATTCAAAGTACTGGTAGATATTTGTTATCTGAAACAATAAACAGAACGTGTTTACATATATTTAAAAAAAACTGGCGAGAGTTAAAAAAGAAACATGAATTTCAATACATCGAATGGTTAAGTTCAAGAAAATGGGGTACCCTCCGATTTAACTGATTTATATATCAAAAGAAAGCCCTTGACTTGGCGATTTCAACGGTGATCATCCCACCCCTTAACTCCCACTCCTCTGCCCCCTAGAAGCCAAAAACTGAAACGTTCCAAAAAGTGATTTTTCCACATATCTCAGCGAGTTTATCATTTCTATCCCTTTTTTTTTATACGTTAGGTGAATCTAACCGTAAAAAACCGAACCTAACCTAACCTACCTAACCGACCTAACCTAACCTAACCTAACCTAACCTTACCTTACCTTACCTAACCTAACCTACCTAACCTACCTAACCTGCCTAACCTAACCTAACCTAATATAATTGAAAGTGTATATTGCACGTTTTCGACGCTTTGGCTCGATTGGCAGGTTCGGCTGCGGTGGGGCGCAGACCAAGCATTCACACTCACCAGGCAAGAAATATAAATACAGTTCAAAATCTAAACGTATTGGCGGGGGAGGGTCTACACCCCTCCCCCTGCACCCCCACCCTAAACGATATAGCCTAACCAAATCTGATTATAAAAAAAAAAGGGATGGAAATAATAAACTCGCTGAGATATGGGGAAAAATCACTTTTTGAACCGTTTCAGTTTTTGGCTTCTAGGGGGCAGAGGGGTGGGAGTTAAGGGGTGGGATGGGAGGGTCTACCCCCCTCCCCCTGCACCCCCGACCCAAACGAATAACCTAACCAAATCTGATTATAAAAAAAAAAGGGATGGAAATAATAAACTCGCTGAGATATGGGGAAAAATCACTTTTTGAACCGTTTCAGTTTTTGGCTTCTAGGGGGCAGAGGGGTGGGAGTTAAGGGGTGGGATGACCACCGTTAAAATCGCCAAGTCAAGGGCTTTCTTTTGATATATAAATCAGTTAAATCGGAGGGTACCCCATTTTCTAGAACCCAACCCTACAAGTGTCATAGACTTTAACAGTGCCTTCCCTCAAGTGATTGTGCATGTGTATACGGATATATTAGTGTGTTTTATGGTGCGATTATTTAAGTGTTTTGCCATATTTTTAGTGGTGTTTTATTGTGTTTTGTGGACTGGTCATTTTAGTGTTTCGACAAACTGTTATTGGTGTTTTAGTGTATTATGTAGAGCGGTTATTTTAGTGTTTTGACATATTGTTACTAGTGTTTTAGTATATTTTATGGAGTGGTTATTTAAGTGTTTTAACAAATGGTTGCTGGTGTTTTAGTATGTTATGTAGAGTGGCTATTTAAGTGTTTTGACATACTGTTACTAGTGTTTTAGTATATTTTATGGAGTGGTTATTTAAGTGTTTTGACATATTATTACTGGCGTTTTAGTATATTATGTAGAGTGGTTATTTAAATGTTTTAACAAACTGTTACTGGTGTTTTAGTGTTTATTATGGAATGGTTATTTAAATGTTTTGGCATGCTTGTACTGGTGTTTTGGTGTGTAGTTATCTACATATTTTGGTATAAATTCGCAAACGTTTTAACATGTGCCATACAGTAATTTTGCAAGTGCTTTCACATACTTTTTCGAATATTTTATGTTTTACTGAATGACTATACGTTCTGATACACGTTTGCAAATTTATTACCGGTTTTTGTAATGTAGTTGTACGTAGTTACATGCATGCTCTTCAAAGTTACAAAAACTTATTTATTAACTGTATGAGTTTAAAAAATTACGTTACTCAAAATGCAAATTGATAGACAGTTACTAAATTGTTGTCCTGTTATGATTACAGAAGGTCACGCTGCCAACCCAACGGACAAACTGGCATATCCAGACGTTACCAAACCAATCCAAATTGGTCCAAACCTGTTCAAAGCAGCACAAATGCAGCCAATCAATCGTAGATCTCTGATGCTTCACCGGTAAAACGATCGCAGTGATGCAAGTCAGCGATCGGTGAGTCGCATGCTTTACGATTCCTCCGGTTCCCATCATGTCGTAGGACGAATGGTCCGAAACAGCACGGGAACTGGTTGTATTTTTATTTTTGAGCGAGCATAGTGACCACGACTGTACGATCGTGTAAAATTCGTACAAACTGTTTACTTTATTTATTAGATCAGGTCAGGGCTTCTTGTACATCTTCTTGTACATTTTCTTGTGTTAACTTAACTTCTTTACGAATCAAATTAAAATTAGTACATTAAAGTCGGATGACCCTCCGATTTCGTGCTAGTTCAATTATAAGTCACTTTCAATTTTTACGTGTCGCGAATTCTTTTTAAATACACATATGTACAAGAAAGTTTCGCGAAAAACAGATTTTGATATGAAAGTTAATTATGAATGTTTTTAATCATTTAGTATATTTACTTTGATATCACCGAGAAACAGATTTCGATATCAAAGTTATTTACGAATGTTTAAGTCATTTAGAAATTTACTTTGATATCAGAAATCTGTTAAAAATGAAACAATCGATACTTAGATTTTTGCAAAGTGTTCTTCCATTTTCCATTCTGAAAATTTAGAATTTAGAGTCAATTTTTATTGAAAGACACTTTATTAGCATGTTACTAATCACGTTTCTTAGCTCAGGATTTTCAGCACACATGAAGAAAACTGGTAGGTCAAAATATTGTTGGCCGTGTTCATTTTTATGCTCTAAACTTATACGTGTGCTTAGATGCTACTCGCATGGGTTATGGTAGGTGGACACGGTTTACTTTTAAGATGTTTGGCGATCGACAAATAGGCAGTGAATTATCGACACAAGTTACACGTGTGTGTGTGTGTGTGTGGTTAGGTCGTGGACCTTGTGTCGATTACAAACTATATGTATACTAAAATGATTACTCTACAAAATATGTTTGAAAAATATATATTACAGAAATAATTATTATAAATAACTCATAAGAAAATGACAAACTATTCATTATTCAATGTAACTTTCATCTAACAGCTTTCTATTATACCGACGTTATTTCGACGTTATACCGACAGTATCGATACATTTGTTCACGACGACGATCGGCCGTCATATTCGAAGCTGTCGCTCACGCTGTCGCGCGACTGGTCTATACGCGTTCTCATTGGTCAGTGTTTTTCATTAATAATTCAAAAACTAAGCTTTAATCAGCATTTTGGTAAAGGAAAAAGTTGTTCAGAATCACTCCAGCTACCACCCACTAAAATTATGCCCACCAGTAGCCGAACACCCTGTATATGAAACTTACAAACTAGCGATTAAAAGGAAAACTTAACCTAACTAAAACTAGATGGCGCATCTATACAATTTATGTGGCGACTCTGGTCGCTACAAAATCTATAGGCTAATTAGGATTAGCCTAAGAATGGTTAAAAATTGATAATACTTTAGTAAAGTCAAAACAATTCGAATTGGTCTTGCACTCCAATGTAATTCGATTCATATTATGGTCAGTTGAGCTAACCATATCAACTATATTAATTGAATTGAACTGTGGTGATCATCAGAGTTGTCGTCGGTCAAGAGGAGTACTATTTTCAAGCCGTTGATAAAATTAATTTTCTTTGTACTTGATATTCAATTTTATTTATGTTTGGTTGTATTTTAAAATGAAAAACGTTCGTTACAGATACCCCGACGTGATCAAATGTAACATGAGAAGTTATAATCAATATCAGAAATTTTCAAAATGTATCGTACGCCGGAACCCGAACGAAACAGACCCCAGGTTGATGTTTGATTTCGGTTACGAAAATATAGAATTTGTTTTTCTATATTTAAAATAGTCAATAAGCAATAACTTTTCAGAAATAACTGATTTACTGAAATTAATTTTGGATTGAATTTAAATATGTGCTTTTGAATTCAGATATGGTCAAGGAATGAATAACGAGCGTTTTTCTTTTTAAAATATACAATTGAACAATAAAATTGAATGTCAAATATAAATAGAAATCTTCTTTATCGATGGCTTGAAAATGAAATTCTTCTTGATCGACGATGACTCTGATGATCACCACATCTGGGCGACTGGTCGCTACATTTTGGACCGAATTCGACAAAAATTGATTTTCTGGCTTTATTAGGCATCAAAACGCATCAAACCCTAATAGAAATTTGTTTCTAAATGCCTCAGGAACCATAGTACGTCGAGAAAGTGCCGAAATATTCATTTTTTCATTTTCCTTATATGCGTGTTCGGACCCTCACTTTTTAGGATCAGTTTTTTCGGTGATTATTCGTTCGTGGCAAGTCCGATTAAAATTTTGTTTTTCTATGTCCATCTGGATGTACATACGCATGTGCATGCAAAATTTGACGAGAATTGGTTGAGTGGTGCAAAAGAAAAACGCGGACAAAGAAGTTGCAAAGTCAAGTATAAGAGCTTCGCTCGCTCGCTCAAAAATTCCAAAAGTAAAAAATAATTATCGTAATATATTGAGAAAAAATAAAAAAATGAACTATTTGTTTAAAATAAAAGTCACGCAGAATTGAAATTAACTTTTATTTAATTATTATATTATTAAAAGTATAAGAAGAATAAAGATAATAATAACAATTATAAACATATATTAATATAATAAAAACAGATAAAAGTATAAACCTCTGCAAGTTAGATAACAAAAATAATTTGTATATATGTTATGGCCAATGGGATTTAATAAGCTGTGCAAGATTTTCTACCATAAAATTTCTATCATAAGACCAATACCAGATAATGCGATTTTCAAATGACTGAATGAAGTTTTCTTTTATTGCAATTAATCTATGTGGGGCAGACTTATTTTCTTCTACTTTAGAATTACAAAAATTATTTTTCAAGAAAATTACACTACGTAATACAAAATAGAGTTTATTGTTGTCAAAGCTGTTGCAATCTAAAGATGCTGTTTGAAATTCATATACCATCTCCATTCGATTGTTAATTCTACATGGTTTAACTTGCAATGTTTCACGAATGTTTGGACCTATTGGAAGTAATTCCTTAATACGCACACGAGCATATCTACTTCCATCTGGTTTCCATAAAGCTTCACAAAATTGTTTTATGAGTTCATACCTATTAAAAGTTGTATATCGTATAAAAAGGAATTAATTTTAAGATTAAATTTATAATATTCATTTAATTATTCGTTCGTGGCAAGTCCGATTAAAATTTTGTTTTTCTATGTCCATCTGGATGTACATACGCATGTGCATGCAAAATTTGACGAGAATTGGTTGAGTGGTGCAAAAGAAAAACGCGGACAAAGAAGTTGCAAAGTCAAGTATAAGAGCTTCGCTCGCTCGCTCAAAAATTCCAAAAGTAAAAAATAATTATCGTAATATATTGAGAAAAAATAAAAAAATGAACTATTTGTTTAAAATAAAAGTCACGCAGAATTGAAATTAACTTTTATTTAATTATTATATTATTAAAAGTATAAGAAGAATAAAGATAATAATAACAATTATAAACATATATTAATATAATAAAAACAGATAAAAGTATAAACCTCTGCAAGTTAGATAACAAAAATAATTCATGTATTGTAGGAATTAATATCCTGATTAAAAATTATTAAATAAAAAATGTTATATTTAATTTGGCATTTCAATATTTCAAAATCATTTTATGCAGACACAGGCCAATGGGATTTAATAAGCTGTGCAAGATTTTCTACCATCAAATTTCTATCATAAGACCAATACCAGATAATGCGATTTTCAAATGACTGAATGAAGTTTTCTTTTATTGCAATTAATCTATGTGGGGCAGACTTATTTTCTTCTACTTTAGAATTACAAAAATTATTTTTCAAGAAAATTACACTACGTAATACAAAATAGAGTTTATTGTTGTCAAAGCTGTTGCAATCTAAAGATGCTGTTTGAAATTCATATACCATCTCCATTCGATTGTTAATTCTACATGGTTTAACTTGCAATGTTTCACGAATGTTTGGACCTATTGGAAGTAATTCCTTAATACGCACACGAGCATATCTACTTCCATTTGGTTTCCATAAAGCTTCACAAAATTGTTTTATGAGTTCATACCTATTAAAAGTTGTATATCGTATAAAAAGGAATTAATTTTAAGATTAAATTTATAATATTCATTTAATTACCTGTCTTTCAAACATTTATGACCAATATTTTCACCTCCCAAAATGACAGCATCTATAATATGTAATGCTAGTACTTGCTGCTGATATTCCTTTGTTATTTCTTGTACTATTTCAGCATATACAAGTGTATCTGGTGGTAATTCTACATTGATATGATCAACTTCTATCCAAATGCCATCTACTAAATAATATACATTATTTCTTCCCATGCCCATGTAAAATGTGGGCACTGCCATTGCTTTAGTGGAAATCCCAGTACTACAGGGCACACAGAACCAATCACATGGTTCATTTAATATTGTATCTTGAATATTTTCTGTTGTTAATCTTTTTGCTGGAACTGATGTAAGTTTAGTATCATATCCAAGAAGGGACAATTTATTTGTAGGCTTTATAAACGTTCTTATATATGTTCTTCTATTGTGATCAGGTAGTTCCCAATATTTCAAACACTCCTTACGTACAAAATCTTGTTTTGGTTCAACAAAAGAAGGGTTTCTATAAAATGCAGCTAGTTTACGTAAAGCTATTATTTGTTTTCTTCCTATTAAATTATTAGATGCACAAAGGTACTCTACAAAATGTTTGTCATTCTCTAATTCTTCAGGCGATACCAACTGTAAAACATCAACATCATTGTTATTTTTCTCTTGCAAAAGCAAATTATTAACATGTTCAAGATATTTTATAACATCATGTACTCTAGGCCGTTTACTTTTACATATCAAAAATCGCTCTGAATTTGCTGGTCGAGAAGAATTTGGTTTTAAAATACAAATTTCTTCAAAGCAAAGATACATTAGATATGTTAAGCCTGCACTAAAAGGTGTAAAAAGGTCAAATATGTTTGTGACAAAATGTCCTCCCTCTCTTACAACCATCAAAGCTACTAGACACTGACAGAGATATATTTGTTTTAGAAAAATCTCTTGTAAACTTTTTTGACCCTCTTCAATTTCAAATGCACCATCAGACATCATGAAATGTACTCCCTTACCATGGGTATGAGTCATTATAAGATTTCTGAAAGCTTTTTGATTACTGGGATCAAAAATATCACCATCACCTTTTGGTCCATAATATGGATGAAATGTTTCGCAAGGACCAGCTTGAAATTTATTTAATTCAAAGTCATCTATATTTTTTAAAGTAAGACCAAATCCTTTTGCATGCCATTTCTTTCTCCACAGAACGTATTCACTGAAACCACCTGGGCCAGCACATACATCTGCAAAATATAGCAACTCATTGTTCTTCAAACCTGCAGGTTTGGTAAACATAAAGTTACATGCTTTATCCATATTTGCCATTTTAACAGCAGAACGATTTAAAAAGAATGCATTGCGGATTGTTTCAAAAGTATTACAGCGTGTCCATACATGACATATGTCATCATGTATTTTGTACAATGTTGATTTTAAATGTAAAATATTTCTAAGCATATTCTCATCACAAAATTGAGTTTCGTCTTCTATAACAAGCTTTTTAGGTCCCTTCTGCAGCCAAAGCATCATACTGTTTAATGATGGCAAAGAATTATTTGGGCTTTTGATCCATTTCATATCTTGTTCAATTTTTATTTCTTCTTCTATAGAATCCCATTTCCTTGCTACAGCTTCAAGTTCTGGAATTTGTAGTGGCACATATTGCACTGGTGCATGTCTTGATGGATTCCCTTGTCCATCTCTTGGTCCTGGTGCATGGCTTGGAAAACGATGTCCAGACCTTCTCCAACTTTGTGAATTTTTATTCTATACATCAGAAGTATATTTAGTTTTTTGTATTACAATTATTATCTTTAAAATCTCTACTTACTCTCCAATTTATCATTTCTAATACTCTAAATACACCTTAATCTGCTGCGTAGTACGTAATATAAACGATTTAAATATGCTTTTTTAAAAGTTTTTTCAAGTTGAATTGATCCAGCACTACAGAAAAACTAAATAATATTTAATTTAATTAGTTCTTTCTACAATTCAGACAACTGGCAATTATATTAAATCGTTATCGAAAATGATAAAGTTTTTTGCGTCTTGAATGTATGGGCGGGGAATCCTTCAAACGTCCTCCATTGTTTCATTATCCCCGATAAGTGTATAAGTACTTAATGTATAACGCTTAGCGCTTAACAACTACAAAAATGAAGGTTTCACAGACTTTTAAAATAATAATAATTACTTAAGAGAGTGAATATAATGTTCCAATTTATTAATAAGACACTTATAACGAAAAGTAGATGAAACGACATGAAACAAGAGTCTAACAAGATATAAGAATTTCAAATTTTCCGATCATTGTTTTTTGAATTATGGCGCGAGAAAAGAGGACGCGGTATCAGCTCCTACTCCTTCTCGTAGTAGATGGCGCTAGAATCGAAAGAATTGTGATGTGTATTTTAAATAAACAATTTAATTTTTATACTTTTTATCTTCTTTTAATTATTTACAATAGTTTCATTAACTTTCAAATACAAATTTTAAACATTACATTCAAATTTCAAATGGTGTAATTAATGGAAAAGTTTGACAATAAATATTTTTAAATGTTTTCGCTATAAATTTTTGTCTCTGATTATTTATTAAAAATATATCATATTTTACAATAAAAGAATTTTGCTATGAATTTATAACAATTAATTGCAAATTGACTTTCTCTGCAAATATGAAACAGGCGTTGACTTTATGTCTGCAGATTCGAGGACGTCACAAATATATATCTTACTGAAACTAACATAAAAAATTTTGGGAAAGTATGACTACTTTTTTGTTTCTCCCATCTTTAAATTTTGATTGCATCTATGACTATGTTTCCATCGAGGGTTCAAATCGGGTCAGAGTCGAGTTAGAGTCGGGTTGGGGTGAGCGCTTTTACGGGGGAAACACCAAAGGTTTAGTTGAATTCTACCCTACAAAATTTTAGGGTAGCGTTCAATTGGGTTCGGTGGAAACGACAAGAGTCGAGTTCGTGTTGCCAACATAACAAATCCAAATTGCATTGTGTATCACGTGTTGTATTAATCGGTGTAGAAGAGGTTATTATTACTTTTTATCGGTGATCTTGTAATCTGAGAAATAATTTTTGTATGTTATTTTGATATTGTAAAATTAATATTGCTCAGCTTTACATGTCAGAATATGGTAGTTGACTTTGTGCAGTTGGTAATGTTCAACCCTGCCGCAACTCCAACCCGCGACTCAAACCCGACTCTAACCCGACTCTGACCCGATTTGAACCCTCGATGGAAACTTAGTCTATGTATGCATAATCTGTAATTTATCATACATAATACCACTACAAATACAAATTTTGTTGCGTCCATTTGCGATTTTTAGGAGGTGTGATGTGAATTGGTGCCCCTGGAATGCTGGCTGCCCTGCTTATCAGTGCGCGTCTGAAAATTAGACTTTAAACTTTTCCATTAATTACACCATTTGAAATTTGAATGTAATGTTTAAAATTTGTATTTGAAAGTTAATGAAACTATTGTAAATAATTAAAAGAAGATAAAAAGTATAAAAATTAAATTGTTTATTTAAAATACACATCACAATTCTTTCGATTCTAGCGCCATCTACTACGAGAGGGAGTACGCGTCCTCTTTTCTGGCGCCATAATTAAAAAAACAATGATCGGAAAATTTGAAATTCTTATATCTTGTTAGGCTCTTGTTTCATGTCGTTTCATCTACTTTTCGTTATAAGTGTCTTAT